TGCTGCTGCTGCTGCTGCTGCTGCTGCTGGCCGTGCGTTGCCGGCCTGCGTCTGGCGCCTCTTCGGGGGAGGCCCTTCGCTGTCTGGAGCTTTGCTTTGCTTCCTGTCTGCTTTGCCCTCACGCTGCTGCTGCTGCTGCTCCTCTTGCCCCTGCTGCTGCTGCTGCTGCTGCTGCTGCTTATTGCTGCGAGACCTGGCCTTGTGCAGGTATATTAAGTTGCCTCTAAACGGCAGCCGCTCCGTCGCCCGCTCAAATGCTGCCAGCTGCTCCTTGCTTTCAAAGTCCCTAAGCAGCAGCAGCAAAAGCGTGCAGCCAGCAGCAGCAGCAGCAGATGAGCTCAGGGTAGCAGCAGCAGCAGCAGCGGAGGCATGACGCAGAGCGGCAGCAGCAACAGAAGCAGCAGCACCGGCGCCAGGCGCACAGCCGCAGCAGTAGCAGCAAATCACGACTCTACACAGAAGGCCTCTTGGCCTCAGCTAAAAGCAGCAGCAACAGCAGCAGCAAAAGCAGCAGCAGCAGCAAAAGCAGCAGCAGCAATATGCCCACATGAAGCCCCAAGCTGCTGGGGGGACTTTGTCCAGCGCCACAAAGGGCAGATTGTTCTCGCGCTGCAGCAGCACAGCCAAAAAAGGAGGGTATCCAGGAACTGCTGCAGCAGCAGCAGCAACAGCAGCAGCAGCAGCAGCAAGAGAAGGCTCACCATCCATTTTTCGATGACTTCCGCCTTGTTGCGCTTCCAGCTCTTGCAGGCCGCGTATCTCCTAAGCAGCCCTTTTGCTGCTGCAGCTGCTGCAGCAGCTGGTGCTGCTGCTGCAGCTGGTGCTGCTGCTGCAGCTGGCGCTGCTGCTGCAGCTGGCTCGGCTGCTGTGTCCGACGCTGTAGGGGCAGCGTCTTGATTCTCTGTGTCTGCTGCTGCTGCTGCTGCTGCACTTGTTGAGGCGCTTGATGTGTTGCAGTTTGCTGCTGCAGGGACGCCAACTGCAGCACCACCATCTGCTGCTGCTGCTGCTGCAGGCGCCGCTGGGGTCCTTGAGCTCGTCATGGCTCGAGGCTGCAGTGCTGCAGATACGGAAGGCCGGAGTAGCAGCAGCTGCTGCAGTTGCTGCTGCTGGTGCTGCTGCTGCGGCGTCGTTGGCAGCAAGAAGCAGCTGGTGTAGGCGCAGCTAACAGATGCTAAGGGCAGCAGCAGCAGGAAAGGCTTCTGCATGCGCTGGTTGCTGCGGCGAGCCGCAACTAGGCCGGTCGATTTGCTGCTGCAGCCGCTGCAGCAAGATCTGGAGGGCAACCTCAGCAGCAGCAGCACAAATACAGAGGAGCAGCAGCCAGAAACCTGTTTTATTAATCCTTTTATTTCGCTGATCCGAGCATTAGCACAAAGTTAGTGAAGGCCTTTATGCTCTCGATAACCGCTGCTGCTGCTGCTGCTGCTGCTGCTGCCGGCGCATGCAGCCGCTGCTGCTGCAGCTGGAGCAGCAGCCAGTGCTCTCACTGCAGCGTGGAAGGGCAGCAGCGCAGCAGCAGCCTCTCAAAGGCTAAAGAATTTGAGATATTTGATGCTGGAGATCGAGGTGTAAGTACACCTCGTTGTCTTATCTAGAGGGCCGCTGCTGCTGCTGCAGCTCGAGAACACCACCGACCCCACCGAAGATCCTGCAGCAGCAGCAGCAGCAGAGCAGCAGTTCTTGCCTGCTCCCGATCAACAAAACATTCAAATTCCGTGTGTACACTTAACGAAGAAGCAGCAGCAGCTGCAGCCTTTGTTGTTGCTGCTGCTGCTGCTACAGAAGGCGCGGGGGATGCCAGACGGAGCTGTCTCGAATCTTCCCGCAGCAGGCCAGCAGCACCTTCTGCTGCTCCTTTGCTGCTGCTCCCGCTGCAAATTGTTTTATTGACATTTTCGCTAAAGAGATCCTGTAACAGCGGCAGCAGCAGTAGCAGCAGCAACAGCAGCAGCACCAGCAGACACTGCAATCGAGTTACGCACGGCGGCGTCGCAAGAGCAGCTGCTGCGCCTACAACGCGAGACACTTTAGCCGAGGCCCTGCTGCAGTGTTTGCTGCTTTTTCAGCAGCAGCAGCAGCAGCAGCAACAGCAGCAATGCCGCCCGCATGAGGCCCAGCTGCGTTGCCGCTGCACCGCTTCACTGCAGCAGCAGCACAGCCTCTGGCAGCAGCTGCTGCTGCTGCCGACTCAATACAGAGGTTGGGG